GTTGTGTCAGAAGTTTATTCTGTGTGGAGAACAATGAGAACATACTGAAATTAATTGAGCATAATGTTGGAGGTACAGATCTATTAGATAATAAATAACATCTTTTCTCAAGCTACTATTCTCAGATGTGTTGGATTGTTTATGGCACAGTGCTGCTTATGACTCTTATCAACTGAGATTGAAGCAAATCATGATTTATTAATGTGTGCATGCACTGTGATTATATCGCCAAAAATATGGGTGTAGATTTTTCAACCTGCATGAGTAATAGTGATAGTTGTGGCCATTCATGTTGGGATTTTTTTGTCTATTTTCCAACTTTTTAGAATATACATAAGGATCTGGAGGAGAAGATTGCTCGTTTCCATCAAAGAGAAGATGCCATTCTCTACATCAGCTGCTTTGATGCCAATGCTGGGATCTTTGAGGTTATTATCTTTGTGTAAATAGGAGACTGATGCAGTGAGGGGTGGATTACCCATCACAATCGCAAAGCAACTGTCTGTGCAGTAATTTCTGAATGATTTGCTATAGTAGTTTTATTACAATAAATAACAAAATTGTTCTGAATCATCATGATGTTATTATGGCCCAGTGATTAGATTCATCCTATGGTTTATGATATGATGTAACAGAATAACAGAGTTGGAAGGGACCTTGGAGGTCTTCTAGCCTAACCCCCTGCTCAAGCAGGACATCCTATACCATTTTAGACAAATGATTGTGCAGTCCCTTCTTAAAAGCCTCCAGTGCTGGAGAACTCACAGCTTCTGAAGGCAAGCTGATCATATGATTTGATCTGGTTTAGTCTATTGTGTAAACCCAGCCAAATATAGTTTATTTAATCATGTTTAACTATGGCTTAATGTGACATAAGTATGTAGTATACAGTATTCCAGAAACTTGTATATGGAAACAGACATAGGAGTATAGAGCAAAAAATGTAAACAGCTGTCAAAGGAAAACAAATGTTTAAGTAAAAAGACTGTTATTACATGTATGCAAAATAAACATACCAACATTCCAAACAGCAAAAATAAATACCTTAGCAATATTAAAATGTTTATTCCCATTTATGATGGGATTGTTTTTTTATAACTATTTCTTTTCTGATATTTACAGGCACTTCTGACACCTGAAGATGCAATACTGTCAGATGAACTGAACCATGCTTCCATAATTGATGGAATCCGTCTTTGTAAAGCCAATAAGTATCGTTACAAACATATGGATATGCAAGATCTGGAAGTCAAATTGCAGGATGCACAGGTTAGTAGCTGGACTATTCCTTTGCAGCTTGGTGGCCTGAGGTGGGGAGAGGGGAACCGGGCCACGCAAGCGATGGGCCAGTGCACATGTGTGCATGCAGCTCAACTTGCACGAGCAACAGGCCAGCACATGTGCATACAGGTCAAGTGCAAGTTGAGCTACATGTGTGTATGCACACATGCTGGCCTGCCATTCACCGCAAGACAAGCTTTGCGCACTGGCCCACCACTCGCATGGCCCGGTTGCAGATAGGTCATGGCCCAATAATGAGCGGTAACCTGGGGGTGGGGACCTCTGTTCTAGATTGTTCAGTAGAACAGATCTCCCAAAAACCAAAGCAAAAGAAAATTCTCAGGTTCTTTAACTAGACCAGTGGTGGCGAATCTATGGCACACGTGCCAGAGGCGGCACTCAGAGCCCTCTCTGGGCACACGCGCCATGTCCAGGAGATGGCAACCGTCCCTCTTCAACCAGCCGCCTGCTAACTCGCCGAGGTCCCACATGGCCAGATGCATCCCAGCACCCATGCGCTCACTGGCCTCTGTATGTAGGGGGCGATGGTGTCAGGCAGCAGCCGCCCCGGCCCCTGCCTCACCTTGCCCTGTGACAATGGCACCCCCGCCCTGCCTCACCCTGCAGGACGAGCCTCCTGCCCACCGCCCCACCTGCCAGAGACCCCCTGGATCTCCCCCAACCTTGCCCGGCCCCCACAGGCGTCCCTCCCCACGAGCAACATCGAGGTGATCACGCTCACCTTGGCCACACCCACCCAGTCTGCCATGACCACTACAGCCACGCCCACCTGGCACCCGGCGATAAATAAGTGGGTTATGGGTTGCAGTTTGGGCACTCAGTTTCTAAAAGGTTCGCCATCACTGAACTAGACAGAATCCCTTGCCTATACTTTGTTACCCACTGTTCTGCACAGAAACATCGTCTACGGATGGTGGCCACGGATGGTGCTTTTTCCATGGATGGGGATATTGCCCCCTTAAAGGAAATATGTAGCCTCGCTCAGAAATACAAAGCCTTTGTTTTTATCGATGAATGTCACGCCACTGGATTTCTTGGGCCTAATGGCAGGTAAGAAACTGTTACTTTTTTCTGATGGAAAGGATTTTAGAAAAGCAGCTATAGTGACTATATTTGTTGAGAATAGCAAATTAAAATTTGTTTCTGTGTTGCTTTTCGTATACACATCCTGCATTCTGACTTGTCACATCAAATTATCCATGATTTCTTAAATAAACCATGATGTCCAAAGCACTGCAAAGCATTATTGATATGATTTCTGGTCCACAATGATTGGATTCACACAACAAGCTAAGTCAAAATCAAATAAAACACAGTATGATTTAGCATAGTATAGACAGTTCTTGCTTAATGACTGTCTTGTTTAGCAACCATTTGAATGTCCTATGGCACTGAAAATAGATTTATGACCAATCATCAAAGTTACATTGGTTGTAGCTTTCGTGCAGCAATGGGTTTGCAATTCAAGTGCTTGGCAACAAGTGTAATTTACAACAGTTGCGGCATATCACAGTCATACGATCATCATGTGCATCCTTCCCAGCCAGCTTCTAACAAGCAAAGTCAATGGAGAAGCTGGCAAGAGGTTGCAAGTTGTGGCTTAACAGCTGCGGATGATTCACTTAACAATTGGAGTCGCTTGATATATGTTGGACTTGGTGATGTGCTATGTTGCTTAGCAATGGAGTTGCTGGTCTGAATTGCGGTGGTTAAGTGAGGATTCTCTATATTATCCCTCTCTCAGCAGTATATAATAAGATCTTAATAACAAGAATCATGGACTAGAATGGAAGTTACATCATCATAAAAAGTTTGATGGAATGGGGATCTGCTTAAAGGATGATGATAATGTGTTTGCCATTCTGCTTGTAGGATGACAACAAATTTATTTATTTATTTTTATTTATTTACATGGATTTATATGCCGCCCTTCTCCCTATAGGACTCAGGGCGGCTTACAGCATATTAAAACACATAAAACATCGTCCCCCCATAAAAACCTATTAAAAACCAAATATTTTTTTCGCTGTATAATTAATTAAGATTTAAATTAAAATTGTCCCTATTTAAAAATTCTCCCTAGGCCAGACCCGCTTG